TGCACAGCCCTCCCCCTTGAGCTTTGCCCCACCCCTTCTATATGGTGCTCCTTCGCTTATCCTTTGTAAAATCTGTGTTAATGTACGTATGTCATAATTAACTTGAGCGCAAAATAAATTGGAAAATTCTTTGGTTTCTTTTTTGCTGCTTTTTGGATCATTTGCTGCAAAGCCAGTTTATTGCTCCAAATTGCGTGTGTGTACGAGGGTGTGTGTGTATGTGTATGTGTGCCTGACAGGCTGATTTTACGAGTGTGTTTATCTAACTTCCTCATATATTTATATATAGAGATATATGTATGTAAGCATATGCCTTGGCTTTGTGCCGCACACTTGGCACACACAGACACTCACACACTCCACTCCCCCTGTGTGTATGTGTGCCTGTGTGTACATACTTCTCTTGTATGTGTTTGCTTTGTGCTCGCTCCTTGGCAACTTCAATTATTATTATTATATTTTTATTTTTTCCAATTTGCTTTATATTTGATTGAGCTCATCTAATTTTTATGGAAGCTTCAAATCACTTACTGCAGATATTCTGATTATATATGTGTATTTATAACTACATTGATAATTATATTTTTATATCAACTATACTATCTTTTATCACATATTCATTATATTGTATAAATATGAGACTTCGGCTCATAGCTAAGTTTTTGCTAAGCAATTGCGCCTAATAAAAGTGGCATAACCTAACAGCTATAACCTACTACCTTTCTATGCGATTCTCAATAATAAAAAATAAAAAAAAAACAGAGCCCTTTTCCTGTTACTCAAACAACTAAAGCTATGCAAAATGTTGACTACATAAAAAAAAAAAACAATCTTGGAAAAGTTTTTACAACTATCCACAAAGCTCCTAGCGCCTGTAGCTATGATTATCAGAGCAGGAGCTACTTCTACTCGCTGTGTATAGGTATTTGCACATTGTATTAAAATTGAGCTCGAGCAACAGGATATTTTAGCATGGTTAGCTTTTTCCTTTCACCGACCAAAAATTTCATTCTTCTATTGTTTTCTATTTTTCGCCTCAAGGCGAGTTTTCCATTCAACTTCTTTTATCTATATTTTTTGATTATACCTAAAAATGGCCTCCGTCTGCTTTTCGATTGTGTTTTTCCTTTCTTCTTTTTTTCTACTCTAAAAGGACTGCCCATATGTCTACCGAGTGGAGTTCCTGAGCAGGACATGGCTGTCATTTGGCTGAAGTTGAAGTGGTTTATCGATTAAATAGATTAGTTATTGCCCAATGCGTTAGCCTCACGGGAACTAAAACTGAAAGGGCCACTAAGTTCCAGTTCCAGTTCCAGGTCTAGTTCCAATTATTTAATGCAGTTTGCTGCACGAATTGGCAACAAATCGAATGCGTCCTTTGGGCGCCTGCGAAAATGGTAGTTTAAATATATAGTATATATACATATGTATGTAGTATATAATATATATGGCAACTTGCCAGTAACTTGAGCTGCGAGTAGATATGTTATATATCTACATAATTCATTTATATAGTATAATATATAATATATATACACTTATATTATTTTTGTCCTTTCTTGCTTGAGCAACTGCAGCAATTGCTAATCTATGTGTGTGCGTACGTATATATGTATGTGTGTCTGTGTGTGTGCAATTTTGCATGTTTGCTATGGTCCTCTACACAGTTGCGAATAAAGTGTTCTGGCAAGTGTCCTGCCGCATCCTTGCATCCTTGCCTGCGCTTATCTAAACATTTGGCTAGTTTTTTTTTTTGTCTCGTTTATTTTCGAGAATGCGGAAATTCGCTGTAAGTCTTAGCCACAGTCACGTATCTAGCTACGTCGAGCGTACTACTTGAAGCACATCAGACACATACTCACACTCACACACACACACATATCACAAYACAACACATGGCACACGCACATACTCACACACTCAAGGCAAACATAGTTCAAAGTGAGGCAACGGAACTTGTCACACACGGAAGATGTGGCCACGCCCAGTCGCTGGGCGCATAAAATACGCTAAAGTTGAGGAATTCAGAAATGGAAGCAGGAGCAAGGGAACAGGAGTTGAAGCAGAGCACAGGAGACGAGAGATAGAGAGAGAGAGGACAAGCCAGGTGGATGGGGGGGATGAGTTTATGCAGGTCTCTGGCAGGCAGTGTCAACTACAATAGACAACAACAAGAGGGAGAGGAAGAGGTAGCGAGAGAGGGAAAGAGAATCTAGGAGTAAAGTCTAAGCAACTACAAAATACTCTATATATAGCGCTAGTTATTACCAACTAGAAAATAGAGTGTAGCAGTGCCTTAAAACTGTGCAATGAAAAATATAAACAGGGAACTTAGTAATAGAGTATGAGCTGATATCAAAAGCCTGTTAAGCAAAACTAGGACTAAAATAGAAAATTATAATTTTGAATAGGCTACAAAATATAAATATAAATATAAATATGATTCAATCAATCAAGTATTGGATATTTAGATTTATATTACATTTATTGATAAATTAAACTAATGAAAGTCTACAAAGAATTGCAGATCTCTTAGGGCAAAGGCAAATCGATTTCAGTTAGTCCATATACTCGTTTAGCTATGCAAAAACATGGCCGAGAGCACTTTGGTTGGCTCTAGCTGCATTTTGGCCAAAATACAATGCCGCGAAATAGCTAACAGCAGAGGCAGCTCTTCAGCTCTGCAGCTTTGCAGTTTTGCAGTTTTGCAGCTCGTCAGAGCTAACCAAAAGTCCCAAGCAAGCTCTACCTCTCTCCATCTCTCTATCTCTCTCTCACTCTATGAGCTAGTTGCAGCTGCTGCTTTTAGTGGCCCCTCAATAACAACTACAGGTGCCTCCTCTGTTGCTGCTGCTGCTGCTGTTGCATGCAGCGAGCTTAAGTGTGTTGTACCTGTTCAACGTGCAACGTCTGCTGTTGCTGCTGCTGTTGCTACCGCTGCTGCTGCTGCTGCTGCTGCTGTTTTGCGGCTGCTTTTAATTGAATTTACAATTTTCGGGATTCCCAAAGGCCAAAATGCAAAATGGAGTTTGGGCGAAACACACACAGAAACAGAGGGAGACAGAGAGAGTGTGAGTGAGAGAGAAGCAGAGAGTGAGGCACAGCAGTGAGAGAGAGGGAGGAGATAGTAAAAGGCAGACAATTTATAGAGGCTCAGTGGGCAAGCAAATGGAATTAGCCTGGCCAAATTTGATATCAGACATAAAAGCTATGCAATCACCATGCCCCATGCCCCCTAGGGGTATGGGCTGATATTGGCTACGTGGGCGTGGGCGTGGACGTAGCTGTGGCTGTAGCTGTGGCTGCGCTGTCGCGTGCCAATTCGCATTTTTAGTCTAATTGACAAAACGTTGGCCGCAAACCAACTGCCCCAGCGAATGTGCCCCAAATGCAGCAGCAGTTCATGCCACATGTTGTTGCCAGTTGTAGTTGTTGTTGTTGTTGTGATTGGATTTTGTAATTGTGGTGTCAACGTGCGGAAACCCGAGCGACACACAGACGGACAGACAGATAGGCAGACGAAGCAGGCGAGCCAGACAGACTTTGATTATGCCCGAGTGTATTTTGTTGCCGTGCCCGAGGGATTTGCTTGCCATTCGTTTCATTAGCTATGCAAGTGTTGTTCTTCTTCTTCTTTCGCTTGTTTTTTTTATAGTGCAAGCCATTCTAGATGTGGCTGCCACTGTCGGCATCATTAAATTAGCTAATTGAATTGTTTTCCATAAACAATGTAGATAAATCAATTAATGTTCACATTGCGATTAGAGCGTAGTTTACATTGATTTGCATAACATTGAGCAGCCGACGAATGTTATTTAACAGCGCTGAATTCTGTTGATGGCGAATGTAGTTAACTATTAACATTATGTTATAGTATAATATTATATATAATATACTAGCTGTTGGTTGTACTGTTAAA